AGGCCCCGCGCGGCCTCAAATTTTTGTTCATATTTTTTTGTGGTTTATGACGCGACATCCCACTCGAGTCTAAAACACCCCTCCCCAACTTTTTTTTCTTTCTTGACCCCTTATTTTTGGGGTGCGCCGCACCCCATGCGCGCGCGTCGTGCACTGTGCGCAGTGCGGCGCGTGTGCACAGTGCAGCGCACGTCGATGCGCCGCAAGGATGATCCAGAGTAATTTATTCCAAGAATCACAACTGCATTATCAACAACCCCTCAATCAAATGTTCAACGAAGTAATCAGGAGTCTTCTTCTTCCTCCTCGTCACCTCATCACCCTGGCTATGGCTGCCGTAGCAGCAGAACCCCCGAACTGTCACAACGAGCCAATCTGAACTAGCACCCTCAATAATTGGCAGTGCCAGCTAAGGGCCCGCTCTGAAGCGCAGTGCTGGAAATCCTGATGAGGAAGAAGACGACCAATCCAGTACTTCGAAGCAGATGGTTCTTCGTGAGAAGGAACAACAGTTACGGCTGCCAAATAGAAAGACGGCAGTGCCCCAACACCTCACAGCACAGATGCCACGAAACCCTCCTGCAGCGCTGAACCTTTGGTGAAGTGTGCCCTTCGACACTGGTCACAGCCCCAGCTCTGGCTGTTGCATGAAGAAGAAGACGATCCAGGTTGCAGATAGCGCAGTAACACTCCCCCCCCTCAACCCGACAGGGTTTCACCAGCAAACGAAAACGAGAAAAGACCCGACTCAATTCGCTGCCTAGCTATTTCTACACTCGGCTTTAGCTCCAAAGGCAACAACCCAAGGCTCATCTGTATCTAGATGGAAACAGGGGGAAAAGAGGACCCACACCTTTGCCAAGGCAAAAAGGAAAAGCTGAATGGCCTAAGACTACCAAACGGGGACTACTAGTGACGGATTCAGGGATCAAGCTCAATAGGGCTCGCGACTAACAAACAAAACGTACAAATTACCAGTCACGGGATGCAGTCCCGCAAGGCTCGAAACAAGAAAACAGCAAGAAAACAAACACAACCTACCTGGCAGTTAGTGTACAGCCGCTGTGACCTGCAAGCTCATTGCACAGGCCTGACCCTCCTCTTCCTCGCCGAATATCTCACCTACAGTTACGGCAGCTATGGCTGTTCCAGCAGCACCTTCTTCTTGGCTGGTGCCCACATCCAGCATCTGGCGCCAGCTTCCCTCTCCACCAGCCTCACGAGCAGCAACTTGGCCGCGAGCAAATGCAAGGCAGAATGCCTCTCCTCAGGGCCTGGTTTTCTTCTTATAGCTTTGACTCTTGCTGGCCAGCCTCCCACTTGACCGTGTTGACGGCCCAGACTTTCCTGAAGTCGATGGCATGGATGCACTGTGGACTCAGATGTGTCGTGTCCCAGTTGGAACTGGAATCTTCTGGAAACCTGTAGACAACCTTTGATGTGCATCTGATCGACAGACGTGGTTTACTACTGGAAGACTTCGACTTTGGGCCTGCCTTTCCCATGCTGGTTTTTTTTTTTTTTTTTTTTTTTTTATTAACCACTTGTACCTTTGGCGTGTGGGAAAATAGCGGGCCTCCGGTGGGCCTCCGACCCTTTCAGAGGCCGAAACGACGGCCGCCGAAGGCTTAGGAGTTTGGGAAAACGTCCACTTTTCCCTATTTTCAATGACAGCCGTCGTCGGGCCCGGCCTCCGAAAGTTTAGGAGTTTGGGAAAACGTCCACTTTTCCCTATTTTCCCACGCGCCAAAGGTACTAGTGGTTTAGGCCCAGGGTGTTGTAGAGGCCAAGGACCAGACCAGCAGTGATTGCTGGTAGCGGCAGCCAATGGCTGTCCTGACAGGATAGGTCACCTACCCTACCCATCCCCACGTTAATACTCCCAGCGCACCCCCTCCTACTATCCTACCTCAGTGTGACCAGCACTCAGGACCATCACCCTACCAGTATCGAGGGTAACTTGGACCAGACAGCAGTGACAAGCACCAAGGCTGGGCCAACCTCCCAGCCTGAATGGAAGCGGAAGCGGACGAACCTTGCCGTATGTGAACTTCGGACGCCAGACTCGTGCAATCTTTTACAGGCCCAATTCAGAGAGTCTACCGAGCAGGATTACCTAAGCAAGTCTGGCCAGCGCCCGTGGGCACATCCTACCATCCTTCTGCTAGCTTACCCAAGGCCAGGTGGAACTCAGACCCCCCCAAGCCGGCCAGCGCCCGTGGGCACATCCTAACATCCTTCCGCTAGCTTACCCAAGGCCAGGTGGAACTCAGACCCCCCCAAGCCCAGTATCGAAGTTGTGTGTATGTGTGTGTGCCCAGAGGCTATGTATGTTTGTATGAGGCCATAGGGCCATGTTTTTTGTCTGCCCGAAGGCTGTGTGTACTCTGTGTAACTGTATAGCGAGATGTATGTGCCGGAAGGCCAGATATGTGCAGTACTATGTAGAGGGAACTATGTGTTCGTTTGAAGAGATGACAGGCCAAGCTGGACAAGAACCCCCCCCAAAGTCCCTAGGCCAGATATGAGCAGTAATATGTAGAGGGAACTATGTGTTCGTTTGAATAGATGACAGGCCAAGCTGGACAAGAACTCCCCCCCAAAGTCCCAAGCCAGACTCGAACCCATGATCTATGACATGTGACCTGCCTGAAGACTCTACCATTTGAGCAACAATAGCGAATGGCCCCTGTGTGATATGCCAGATTGGGGAGATCAACAGAACAACCACGAGCAACAGCCACAAGCAACCCACGCAGTATCAAGACCCGATATACAACACCATGGACAACCCTTGGGTGGTGCGCAGGCAGTATCTGTATAAACTTACCTTGCCTCAGCCCAAGGGAGTGTGTGTCCAGCCGTGCGCCATTCCAACGCCCTGCCGGTGTCCATGTGCAAGGCTGGAATTGAGTTTTGAACCCGCAAACTCATACCACAATGCGCATTT